TGCTCCGAGTACTCTTTCTGCATAAAAGTTGCATCTTTATGAGCAAGAGTAGTTTGATAAGCTATAAGCAGCACAGTTTAGATATAATATTGAAATGCACAGCAGAGGCAAAATCTTATCAAACACAGAGAAATGAACCAATAAATTGGAACTAACCATTAGAGTAGGGGCCTTACCTCAGAAGTATGGCTAAATAAAGAGATGAAGGACATGAACGGGAAACCATTTCTATCATAACTGAGTGTCCCATCTATGATGCGTGACAGAATCGGATGCACAACTGCATGGCCATGCTCAGGATGATGAAGAACAAAAGTTGCTGGAAATATGAGAAAAATATGTCAAACTCTTTCTTCAATTGTTTGTGGAACATGTATTGATCACTGGATCAAATTACCTAATACTTCATCTACAAGGCGCTTTTCTTTTGATGGATAGCAACTTTGAATTAGCTGCAAGCATGCAAGAAAAAGAATGCAAAAGTTAACACACTGGAGAAAGATTTTATCACAGAAGATACTAAACATGCTTAGAGATACAGTACCTGAGCTATATCTTCAGGGAATTGCTCACTGTCAGCTGTAAACTGGCCAAAGTACTCAACATAGGCCAGAATTTGTGCCTTCAGAGAGGAGACGCAACCAAGTTTCCCATTGAGGCAAGTATGTTCAACATATAGAATTTCTAACAAGAATCAAATAGGAATAATGTTACCTGTTTTTGTTGTGAATCCTGTGGTGGGGGCCAGAACAGTGATGAGAACTGGAGCCCATCAATCCACTTCTCATTTGAAGCTGACATACTTGGTAGCTCAAGAGCCTGCCCAAGAAACTGAGAGAATTCTCAAAGAGAAAGAAAGAAACTACACAAACTGCTCCAGTTAGCAATAAAAGCACCTGTAATCAACACCACGTTGAAGCCGCCAGTTAGTTCATCCATTTATGCCACCAAAGTCCAAATCTTCTTATAAGCTACTTGCCTTGGTATCAAGAAACTTCGAGCAAGAAAGTTATAAGAGTGCTATCCACTTCATTCAATCAACCCCCATAACGGGGGTCTGCATCTCACAACGTGACACGTTATCATATCAACCAATGCCAACCATATGAGCTTCAGAGTCTCTACACTGTAATATATCGCACAACAAAAACCAAAAAAGGAGGAAAATACATGAATTTTAATTAATGCAAAAAAAAATTTACTCCCTCCGTTTCATATTATAAGCCGTTTGACTTTTTTCTTACTGAAATTTCTTCCAAGTTTGACTAAGTTTATAGAAAAATATAGAAGTATTTTCAACACAAAAAAAACATATTATCAAAATATATTCAATGTTAGATTTGATGAAACCAATTTAATATTTTAGATATTGCTAAATTTTACTATAAACTTTGTCAAACTTAACAAAGTCTGACTAGGAAAAAAGTCAAACGACTTAAAATATGAAACGGAGGGAGTAGAAAAAAACTGACAAATGAAAAGAGAGGGAGGTAATGCAACGAAAATTGCATAATCTTACAAGCGCATTATTTTATTGTCAAGTACAACTAAATTCATAATCAAACGAAAAAATATATCTAGGAAAAAGGTGGAAGCTTTCTCGTTTTTAATTATCGAAATGAAAAGGTACATGTTGCAATCATTTATAAGGTAAAGTTTACCATAACATTTAGTTATGGTGCAAGCTCACATGTCGATAAATATGTTAAGGAAGGCATCATAGAAATAGGCAAATTTATGGTAATGCTAATGGATGTGGTGTACAGAACCATTCACTTGGTTCCTCGTAGGCTCCTATGGCTTATCACACAAAATCAATAGATGTGTTTTTCGTGACATTTATACTTCATTTGTTATTCCACGTCACTCATCGGTCTGTTTTTGTTGGTCGATTATAAATGTATTGTCTAAGACAGAATTTAATGATGTTGTTCTATCTTGTTATTCTTTCTTTTTTTGGCAAGCAAAGATTCTATTTCGGGTACTATGACACCGAACCAGAAAGTATATTACCTAAAGCATAGAAATGGAAAATATATAGGAACAAAACAGGTTCTTCTTTTGGTGTTTAATTACAGGTGTCTCTGCTCATCGGTTGGTGTCTGTATTCACTTCCACTGTTAACGAAATGAGGAAGGGATCCCTTGTTACTGTTTCAGGGGAAAAAATATTAAAGCAGAGCTAGCTTACTGCGAATTAATTTTCAGTAATTATCCCCGCACAAATTACATCCACAGCCGTATGCACCACATCTAAACGCCTCCACGAAGCAGCAAAATCCAGCTAGAATCAACGCTACTCGCCTAAAAAAACCACAAAAACCTCCTGAAATTCGCAGTAATAAGCATCCATCTCGCGTTGATCTATCCGATGCCACGAATTATTACAATACTAATCAGCTCAACCTCGCCGTCAAATTTCAAAACTAATTTCCCTTTCACGTCTTCAAAATCCCAACCGCATCTACCACCAAAACTCTCTCCCCCCAAACAAAAATCCCCTCAACATAACACCACAAATCCACCCGAACCACCTCGCCCCCCATACACGACAACCTTAGAAAGGCCATCATCAAAACCAGCCTAAAAATAGTTTTAAAGAAAAAACCACCAAGCACAGCACAGAAAAACTAAAACCGCACGGGAAAAATAAAAAAGCATTACCTCGATCAGCCTTTCAACCAATCCGGACCTCACGCGGCGTAGACGGCGGCGGCGGCGAGGGGATAGACGCGCGCGGCGGCGACACGGGCGGTGGAGGAGGCGCAGGGGAAGGAGGAGGAGAGAGAGAGGGAGAGAAACGGCTCGGAGGAAGGAGAGGCGAGAAAAAGATTTTTTCCGGGGATGGTGGTGGTGGTGGTGGTAGTGGCCGCGCTATTTCCCACCCGCGCGCGCGCGTGGGGTGGGGGCCCACGCGGCGGTTCCGGGTCGCCGACACGTGGGGGCGGGTGATGTGGGGCCCACGTGTCGGTGATAGGCGGGTGGGGTAGCTGCGGGGTGAGATACTTATTCGTGAGTGCGGCGGGGGGGTGGGAAGGCTTTGCTTGGCTTGGCGGATCGCCTCCTGGCGATTGCTGACATGGCCTTGATATTTTCGGGGGTGCATGGCATGTATGTATGTATGTATGTATGCTTGGTGATCGTCATGCATGACCCCCCATGGCCATGGCCAATGACATGGATTTTGTGGTTCTAGTCCTTGTGTTGTGAGATTATTGCGAAATGGTCCCTATGATTTTTGAGGTACTATCATGGTAAGCGGTTAAAGTGGAGGTATATATCCATTTTCTTTTGCAAGTGAATGATTACTTTTTTTAGAGAGTTGACTAAGGCTCCCATCGGTTGTCATTTTACCCAAAATGACTTATTTGGCTTATTAGAAAATTAAAATTAATTTATAAGTAAAACTTTTGTAGATTTGTTCGTAGCGACTTAAAAGCCAACATTAACAAAAATTACGTTAAAAGCATTTCAAAATCAACTTCAAAATCAAGTTCAAAAATTCAAATTTTGGCTTATTCTTTGGCTGTTTAGGCCAAACGATGGGGCTATAAAATTTAGCCTCTGTATTCAAACTGGATCTACACGGTTAAAGTGATAAGAGCAAATTTAATAGTAAAGTCAACAAGTTGCTATAAGCTCCTATTCCATGCGTCCCAAAATACAAGGTTAGTTCTATTTTCCTCTCATCTCTCTTTCTCTCTCTACAAATTTAGGCTGAGTTCTTTCTCCGAATTTTTCAACTCACTTTCCTCGTTTTTCACGCGTACGTTTTTTAAACTGCTAAAAACAGTATGTTTTTTTGCAAAAATTTTATATACAAAATTGCTTAAAAAATCATATTAATCTATTTTTTTAAAAAAAATAGTAAATGGTTTATTAATCATAAGAAAATGTGTCACTCCATTTTACGTGCGTAGGAGGTGAGTTTCCAATCTCACCTCCCGAAACACAACCTCAATGTTTCTATGTTGGAGTATACGTAGAGATGGCTCTTGTTCGAGAGGCAACAATACACGTTTTCTTTTATTTCTTTCCTCCGTATATGTTTATAGTTGGTTTATATCTAAATAGTGTACTTGCTCTTAAATGATAGTGAGATTGCATGTTCCTTGAGCTTCTAAACAATGTGATTTGTATGAAAAAATTTGCATATGAACTTTATAAAAATACCATTTTAAAACCCATTTTCAGCATTGTAAAATTTAATTTATTCATTGGTGCCCTCGAACAGTTATCCCAAAAATATCCATCCATTTAGCTTGCAAGAATAGGGATAGTGGTGATAGGACAATAGCCATTTGGAAAAAAAATAGGATTATTATAGGACATTTTAGGACTATTTGAAAAAAATGGCTGTTAGGAATCTTGTCTCGAAAATAAATTGCGACCGTTGTTAGGAATTGAGAGAATGATACAAGTAAAATGCATATTCTCAATGGTCCTTTAAAATGCAACACTGCTATACTATACTTGATATATTTCTTCTTTGATTTTTCCCTGCATTTAGATCTTCATGTTGGAGTACTAGTTAAGAACTAAAATCTTAACACCACACCAACATGAAGCCTTGATTCAACTTCTTGGCTGAGCGGGCATGTTTCTCAAACTAGTAAATAACATGTTTAATTTAAAGAATTTACATAAAATGCTTATTCAAAATATTAAATAAATCATTTTTATATTGTAATAGGTAATTAATCACTCGCTAATCTAAGTATTGGACGAAACACATTTTAGTACTAAAATTTTGGACGAATATTGTCCAAATTTATAGTAGTAGAATTTATCTCATCCGTTATTATTATGTTGCTATATTATAGGATGTACGAGGCTTGATCCTTAAAAAATTACCAGCAATAATAAAGCGTAGCCGACAAAGTCTAGTGCTTAGTACAAGTGCACAATACTAGGTTCTACCACTATATATGTAATTTTACTAACACCGAGTCAACCAAGCCATCAGAAAGAAGGGCCTAATTATAATTATCGCTAATGACGCGTCAGACCCCCGAATATTTGACCGATTAGCATGTCAACCGTTGGATGGAAGGACGTGGCCATCGGACGGCCTCAACGAGGAGGCATCCGCTTCGCTTTACCTTCTCGGGAACGGCAATCGGGGTGACGTCACCGCTACGAAGCTGGACGGCTGTAGATCACGGATGGGAGGTCACTGGACGGTGGTGCGACGTTGCCATTTTTTATATTTTAATTGCTCGCTCGTCCTCGTCCATTATTGTCGTGGTGGGCCCCACCCATTGGCTAATTGCGCTTTAGATCTGTGTGAATTGTGATTAGGTCGAAATTTGGATGCTTAATGGAGTAATTAACAAAGCAGAGTAGTAGTAGTATTAGGTTTGATGCATGCATGTGTCTCACTATCTCTCTTTCTTTCTTTCTCGTGATGCCCCCACCTTGTGATTAGGTTGTTTTGTGGAAATGCAATGGGCTATAGCTATGGCTGATAGATCCATCAGATCACTCGAATTGATATTTCCTCGTGACCTGCAATCATGGAGGCAGAAATGTTATCATTAATTCATTTTTCACATGTAAACCGGGAGCAGTAATCGTATGGATATATACAAAGTATGCTGATCAAACTGTAAATTACATGAGTGTAGTATAAAAACCACTGACTTTAGGCCCGACTCTTTTTTGCTTAACGGATGAATGGACGAAAAATGCGCACACTTTCAAGCATGCACTTGTTGAATGAATATATGAGTTTGTAATTACTAACATACATGGCTGAATGGTTGTAGTATCTAACTATCTTCTAATCAAGTTAATCTAATTAGACCACTGAAGAAAAGCCATAGAAATCTTATAAGATCCCAGCTGTAACATTGTTCGATGCATCTTGCTCCTCTCCACACGTTTGCAAAAGCCAAAGTTGCAGCACCAGTGGCACATTAAAATATTTTCAAGGAACAATAATTAAACAAACAAAGCAAAGACATCACACCAAAACTTACGTACGCTAAGAATCTCTAGTCAAATATCCAAGCACCTTCTGCTTTAGAACTCTCTAGAACCATCTAGCTTTTAGCTTACTCCTCGTCTTCGCAGAAAAATATACTACTCCTAATCAATCTTAGCTTAATTACCACGGCGCAAGTTACTAACCGGGTTTCGCGGGCAGTGGACCTGAGAGGGAATATCCGATCCGCATCGGACGGCCCACAGGCGTCCACGCTCGCCACGAGTTGACCTCGCGGCGGTAAGTGGGATGCGTGGGTGGATGGCGACGGCCTGGGGATGTGGGCCCGCGGGGGCGGTGCCACGTGTGAAGAGAAGGATGGCCCAGGTGGCCACTGTTGGAACGTGGGTCCCACCATACCTTTGATTTGCAAAATAATTATGCCATATCTCGTGCTAATATATTTGTTTGTTTTGGGATAAAAAATTTTTATCTATGTGAGAGAGCTAGCCTAAATCATTACAGGTGAGTTGGTGAGATGAGAATTTAGACCGGTCCACCAAACGAGATGATGGTACATTTAGACACTACTCTCTCTGTGAAATACTTTATCTTTCTTTTTTGCCTTCACTACATAAACAGAAATGCATTTCGGCTGAACTCATTCTGGCTAGAGCGCAGCCAATTCAAACGGCCGTATTTAGTACTCCATCCGTTTCATAATTTAAGACATTTTAGCATTATTCATATTTATATAGATGTTAATAAATCTAGACACACACTATGTGTCTAGATTCATTAACATCTATATAAATGTATAGTGTGTCTAGATTCATTAACATCTATATAAATGTGAATAATGCTAGAATAACTTACATTATGAAACGAAGGAAGTATGTGTTACAGTGCAACTAAACTGGTCTATATTTTATAACAAGTGAGGATTATACTATCTTACTACTCTGAGTTGTGAGTAGGACAAGTGTCTGGTTATGTTTGCAACGATGAGGCGAAGTTGTCTACCTAGTGTTTTTGCTGTGACTTGTGAGGCCACACATGTGCAAAGGCTGTGTGCTTATAACTATCTCGAGGATTGATTCGGAGCGGCAAGTAACCGACGGTGTTTGGTGCAAGGAATTCAATCCAAGCAAAAAAAAAAAAGAAAAAGAGAAAATCTATCTCAGCCACGCAAATAATTACTCAGCCCAAATCAAAGAGCTCCATCAATTAGCCTAATAAAATAAAGTAAAAGTCAAAATTTAAATTTCGAACTTGATTTTGAAGTTGATTTTATGACATTGACATTTAAACTGCTACGAACAAATATATAAAAAATTATCTATAAGTTATTTTTTATTCTCTAATAATCTGTGTTTTGGTCTATTGGTGAATACGCACAAGAGATGAGGCTGAAAAGCCATTGGGCATAGACGGACAACACGGGGCGACGTGTCCGGGAGGCGAAGGCGCACGGAGCACAAATCCGCCTTCGCTTCTCCTCCTCCCGCGGAGAAAGGGGATGATGGCCAATGGGAGGGGAGCAAAGGATATTTTCTCTCTGATGACAAGCCCGCGTCCGCGTGTCGACCCGGGGCGCGCACGAATAATTTAAGCAAGCGGGGAGACCCAACCGAGAGGGGAGGGGACGGCCCCACCTGTCAGCGCATGCATGGATGGATGGATGGATATGCCTAGCCCCGGATGGGTAGCATGGGCGTGGTGGGGCCCACCAGCTCTCTCAACTTGTCATGTTGGTCCCTGTGAGATTACTGTATCTCCTTCACCCTACTACTTCTACCCTGCGATATTGGCATCACACCGGTTTTTTCGTGCTAAGACTAACCTGAATAAAAAACTGTCTAGATTCGTATTATTATAGTATATCAGCATCAGATACTGGGTTGGTTTTATTAGGAAGAAGGAAGTTTAAATGTTATTTTCTTCGTCCCAGAAAAAAAAAAACTCAATCTATGAGACGGAGGGGTACTACTTGCATCCCCTGTGATCCTATGATTCTTCGCTTTGTTTAGTTACTGAAATAAATAAAAAAACGCATTATCATTACATAAATTGGTTCCTAAAATCTGCAATCACTTAAAATTGTAAGATCACATACTGCAAGAGAGTATCTAGCCAGGATATGCAGTTTCGTGGAAAACCCATTGAGATTTGTGAACTGGTTTTTTGATTTCGAGCCAGCTCAAAATTGGTCAACATCAAGGAGGAGTTCAAATGGTTTTTGAGAAATTCAAATCTGAAATAGTAGATTTGATTGAATTCAATCAAAATTTGGTTCGACATCTGGCTGGCAGCAGCAGCAGCAGCAGAAGAACTATTACCTCCAAAATATACTCCTTGAAGTGAACTGTCCACTGTCGATGGAACAAAAAATGTTTGTCTCCAACGAGGTCAACTTCAATAACAGTCCAAACAAAGAGAGAAAAACATGGGCGCCGGCATAACACACCAGCAAGCAGATTGGTAGTTTGGGAGTACAATACAAGCAGAAAGACTGCAAAGGTGGACTACTGGTGGGCCCTGAACACATTAAACTGAATACTTAAGCATATGAAACGTGCAGTACAGTATGTAGTACTTGCCACTAAATTGTGCAGAAACAGCATGCTCAACTCAGGTGACTGGATGCCACCAGTGGCGAAGCCAGAATAAAAATTACTAGGCGTTCTTGATATGCTTATATACTAATTTTTAAGTAATATAATGCTTAATATAACTAAAACACCTAGAAATAAATAAGCTATCCGGTGTCCGGGGACACCGGGTAGATACATGTAGGAACGCCCCTGGATGCTACCAACCGTGTGTTACTGCTACTAGTAATACTAGTACGACATAAATTGTACTGAATGCGATTTGAACAATGATCCTGTCAAGTGTCAAGAAATTAATTGAGGTGGTAGAGGACAGGTTTAATATAATCCATTATTAAAAAAGAAATTAACTGAGGTGCTCTCCGTATCATAAAAAACATGCATATCCATATTAATTTCATAATATTAAGATATGAAACATTTCATATTAGATTTTTTTTAGACGAGAAAAGTATTTAGTACTCTAAATCACAATACTCCACCATAATAACCTGACTAACTATAGTATTACTCCGAGGCAAACATGGGTAAACCTGTCAAAGACTCAAAGGTCCTGATTGAGAGGGCTTCCAGTTCCTGCAGCTTTTCCCATTAGCTCCAGCTTCCCAGACAATTTAGATTATCAGAATATGTAGTTAGAATTCAAAAAATAAACTAGAAGCCAAAAGATAGAAAAAAAACTTCTCCAAATTCTTAGGGTCCCCTTGAATCACAAGAATAAAAAAAAATAGAGAAATAGAAAAAAATAGAATTATGACAGTATTGCAAATATAAAACAAAATATTACAAAACAACACAGAAAACAACACAAGAATGACCGTTTGATTGGAACACAAAAAAAAAGGAATTTGAGAAGAGATAAAGACTCGGGGCCCCTTTGTTCGCAGGATAGGAAAAACACATGAATTGAAATAGTATGTTTCTCAATTCCCATATGAATGAAAAACCATAGGAAATACAATGGGAGTAATTTGATAGTGCCATGAGAAAAATAAAGGAAAGTTCACAAAGAGATCACATCTATCATTATTTTTCCTCTGAAATGTGAAGCACATGAATACAATTCTATGAGAATTTTTCTTTCTTTCCTATGAATTAAAGGGACATGTAGGAAAAAAAAATCATACAAATTTGAATCAGAGTTTTTCTCCAAAACTTACATGAAATGAGGCATTCCATAGGAATTTAATAGGGCTCCATAGGGTACATTCCTTCGATTCAAAGGACTATATAGGAAAAATCCTATAAGAATTAAATCCTCTAAAATTTGTATGATTTTTTTTCAAATTAAAGGGATTTTAAAAAATTGGTTACCAACCAGCTGCTTATTATAATTTTAGTCTCCCCAAACAGGGCCAAAGTTTTGCTGACACCTGGGAGATAGTGGTGGTACTGTAATGTACAATGGCCAATGGGGGATAGCTGCTTCAGATTAGCCAACGCAAACAGATAGGTTCGCTGTCCGCTCAACCAAAAGATGATAAACATGAATCACAAACTGTTGCTGGACATCATGCTATCCATATGTCGCGATCGACCTTTGCATTCCCCAACTTGATTAGTTAGTCTCGCCCGGGTTTACCTTTCGTCCTTTCCCATGAACTGGTAACGCGGATTTCCTTAATTTTTACTCGAATTTTCTTTTTGGAATACAAATTTCTCAAAAAAATTCGATTTTTTTTATCGAAATCTACTTTTTGCCCCCATGTCGAAACCTCAAAAATTTAATCAGAAGATAATGCTTAATATATGCTATCCAAAGGCATCGATCGCATATCGGTCGGTCTGCTGTATGGCCCAGTTGGATCTCAATCTACTCAAGTTGCCATTTCTCAGCCCAAAAGAGATTCAGCGTGGATATCAATTGGGCCCAGCCCAAAGCTCTACAGATAGATCCCCCTCTTTTCCCCTTCTTTTCTTTTCGTGTACAATTTTCCCTTTCCCTGATTTAAGAATATGGAATATATCCTTGAACACCCCCACCCCCCCCCCCAAAATAAAGTGAATATATACAGGCTTAACATAAGATAAGTACACTAATGCATGCATGAATAACGTATAATGATTGTCATACAGAAGACAGTATACTTACGTGCTCATGATCAACTGATAAAAGGTCCGATCAGCTAACTGATAAAATGCACGCAAGAAAGGAATAAAGGGTTTGGACGATGGAAAAGAGAGCTCAACGTACAGACAGATCGATCGACATAGATCGAGAGGGAAAGAGACATGAGAGAAGCCCGCAAGTTATGCTGTCCATCCATGCGGGCGTCCAGCTTTTTTTCATCACTATTTCACCGGATCCCTAAACTGCTGCTTGTATTCATCCATCACCTACAAACAGGACAGAGGTCTAACTTCTAAATCTATTATATAATTAAAGGAATAGGAAAAGGAGCCTCCACGTTCGCTCTTATAGCCTAGAAATTCTCACATTAATCAGAGAAAAAGAAAAAAACAGAGTCCATATAGAAATACAATTTAGAAATAGCTCAAATTCGGAATTAAAAAATAAAAAATATTAGAAGAGGAGACTAGAGTCCATATAGAAATACACTTTAGAAATAGTTGAAATTCGGAATTAAAAAATAAGGAATATTAGAAGAGGAGACTAGAGTAGTTATTACACATTAGTAGTTTTGAAAAGTTATTGCAAAATTTAAAATTATGTTGTCAGTGTAATATATTTTAATAATATAATGAGAAAACATATATGCTATTATATGAGAGAAAATATAATGATGCTAGCTGCACAATTTGCACGGGCCACCATGCTAGTTAAACTTTAATTAAGAGTCGGATTTAGAATAAAGTTGTAAAGTACTAGTGTCTTGAACTCCGCTCCATCGCACTAGTCTATTTCATGAGACCGCTCAACCTCTCTAGTCCATTTCATTTTCATGAGAGAACTCTAACCCGTTTCGCTCTCTTTTTTAGGTTTGAGTTGAAACCGTTTGAATATTGAGATCTACTTCAAGAGCTACAAACATTTGCTTAATAACCCACCGGCTACAGAAAACTGTACTCCATAATATTACTCGGCTACGTACAACAAGCGCTATATATAAGTAATTATCACCAGCCTAACTAACTAACATAACTATGATAACGGTGACAAATTAAACAACAGTAACAGCAAATAGTAATAATAATAATACACACACAAGCATGTGATATCGAAATGCAGTCGTCGATGGATATATGACCAGCTAGCTGATCATCAGCTTGTGGATCGGAGTCGGAGAAGGCGAAGGACGACGACGACGACGACGACGGGAGAGCTAGGTAGAGGAAGCAAGCTACCAGATGAAGGTCATCTCGGCGGAGGCGCGGGCGGCGTCGTCGTCGTCGCGGGAGGGGGAGTGGACGTGGCGGCCCTCGTAGGTGGTGATCACCATGCGGGGGTCCTCCGCCAGCCGCTCCACCCGCTTCTTCACCCGGCAGTTGTCCTGCGTGCACCGGTAATAGCTCCTGCATATATATATATATATATATGCAAATATATATCCACAATCACACACACAGTTAACCACATATATACTTCAGTACGTGTGTGTGTATATGCGTAGGAGTGTGTAAATTTGCTTTAAGGTTATCACTTATCAACAAGAAAATCGATTTTGATTAATCTTGCCTTTTCTTGCAACACAACGCACAGATCAAAATATAGTATAGTAATACGGAGTAGTATTGAATTAGGGACTAACTAATACGCGTCGCTAGTAGCCTAGCTAGTAAATACATGTTCGGATGACATCCAAACAACTTTTTAGTACGGAGTATAACATACTCCAAGTAGTTCTGTTTAGCGTTATGGCAACGGATGCTTTTGCTAGCTAGTAGATCTACGCACGTCCTAAAGCTTAGATATACCTTTCTACCCGGTACTGCTCGTGCTACTCTATTCTACCTACACTCTACAAATATGGAGTATAGTTTTTATGTAGTCGGATTTCCAGGTGAAAGAGAGATTACAAGTATTCTAGGAATTGGTATGTTAAAGTACAAGGAGAGACAGATATTGGAAAATTCTCAATCATGGCCTGACCCTGCTGACACACCAACTAGCTAGGCCATGGAGATAATATTCCAGGCTACCCAGCTGGTAGCATCATTCCTCATCTCAAACCTAAGGGGCATAGATATTGAGAAAGATGTGGTAATAATTACAGGGTACAAAAATCTTGGGCCCTTTGCAAAGCTCAAATCCACCTTTTCATCATCTCATGGCCCTTTACCCAACAGTAAAGATTCTCCATCAGCTCCCACAGCCAACAAAAAGCAGATATATCACACATCCAATATATATTCACTTTAAGGCAATATCATAATTGTTTTTTCCTAGAATTTTCAAGCAAAACATGAAAAAAAATCAGCATTCGAAATAAGAACATACCCCTCCATCTAAAAAAAAGTCTAATACTAACTATGAACCTGGACACATATATGTCCAAATTCGTAGCTAAGGGTTGAGTTTTATGGAACGGAGTAGCATATATCACCACGCTTATACTTTCATCCTCTCGCAGCTCTACATAAGAACTTGCATGCTTAATTATATGTTGGCCTCAACCGTCTAAAGTCTCTCTACTGCATATCAACACCCACATATAATACCTACAATTGTTCGCATGAACCTACTAATATACTTCTATATGTCCAGATTCGTTGTAGTAAAAAGTGGCACATTCAATGTTTGATTGGGTTTTTTTTGAACGGAAGAAGTAACAGCTTACACATATACGTACAGGTTGCGATCAAATTAAGTTGTCTCATAACCAGATGTATTTGTGAGACTTAATTTGCTCGATCGTCGTTACGTTGACACAATCTCGACGCTAATTAATACTGTATGATACGATACACCAGATTATCCATTACTAATACTACCCTGCAGTATTAGTTTTGACAATCAAGAAAGTAGAAGAAAAATGAGGATGATTGCCAATCGATTGGAAAAGTCATGGGTGTGTTGTAGTAGTGGTGTGTGAGCCAGAGGACCGGATGGGAGGAGAGGGTTTCTGAGTGGCATCATTGCAAGGGGCTAATCAGATTGGACTGGATGCTGGGCTCATGTCTGCTGCGGTGTGGGTCAATGCTTTGGCACTACCTGTCATGATCACCATCACGCATAGACAGATGTTCACACAAGCACAGAGGCTCCTAGGTGGTCTGCCAGGAGATGATATAGATCTTGTCATGTCATTTCCATCAATTTTATAGTAGCATGAATAGTAGGGCTGTGTCGAGTTCCACGTTAAATTTAGAAGCTCGAAAAAATTAGAACAATATCACGAAAAAGTTAGAAGTTTGTATGCGCAGAAAAGTTTGATGTGATGGAAAAGCTGAAAGTTTTAAGAAAAAAGTTGGAATATAAACAAAAACCTAGGTGCAAACTTTATACTCCCTCGTTGATGTCACTAGCTACTTCTGATTATCCTAAAATAAATTTAATTTTAAGTAATCATTATATCATATCAGAGTTTATAAAAATACATAGAGAATAATAAATATATTAAAAATAAATAAAAGGGAAATAATTACATTAAGATTCGATAAAGTGGGAGTATTCTAGTCTTTATATTTTGTATTGGTATATATGGAATGAGTAAAAAATGAACTTTGGTACATAGAGTAATTTTTTTAATTATTACTTCTTCCGTGTTAAAATACTTGTTATTGTAGGCAATTCAGCCTTATTAAATGATGTCAATATGATTAGGAGTAGTACTTCAGAGTGACAAATATTTTAGAACAAATTTTGGAAAAAAAAAAAGCTACTACTTTCTCCGTCCGTCCAAAAATAAGTGCAGCCGTAAGAATCTGTGTCCAACATTTAACGTCTGTCTTATTTTAAAATATTATAATTTTTTTTAAAAAAATCACACATAAAATACTATTAATGTTTTATCATCTAATAACAATAAAAATACTAATCATAAAAAAAAAATCAAATAAGATAAATGGAAATGAACAGTTCAAAACAAAATAAAATGTAGAATAAAATGCATCCTCCGAGTGTCCATATTTATAGAACAAAATAGAGGTGGTATTAATAAATGTAGAATAAAATGCACTCCCGAGTGTCCAAATTTATAGCCATGGGTAATTCTTTTTTAACGAAGGAAAAGTATATTCATAGAGGTAGATTAGGAGGTTTCATAAATTAAACTGCACAAAAAAATGCTTTGCTAATTCAGTATCATAAAATTATCCGATAGTACCAATTAAGATTACAAATTACTAAGATAGTTTGCTTTTCTTCTGTTGCGACAGTTGTTGTCTACACATGGGATGAGTGGACGTTAGTGGGACTGTTAGATGGTGCAATGAGCATTCAACCTACTAAGTTAGGATGCACGTCATTCTCTACATGGGAGCTCAGTTGGTCCTACGTGAAATGGACTAGTCGATCGATCAATTTCATTCTTGAACAGAATGAAACAAATGTAGCGCAATCTGACCCAATCTAGCTATTCTGGAGTGATCTAATCATCTACCTGAAGCAAAATATCATTTGTTGGTGGTTAGTTGGAATATTAGTAATCACTAAAAACCGGGGAAATAGTTGCATATTATGTATAAAATCAAGCAATCAATGCCAAAGTTATTCCACGAAACAAAGGAATATAGATATATATGAGCGAGAAAGATACACTGGTGGAGAAACCATCTTTGGTCGGTCCGGCAAAATCCACAATAGTCCCGGATCCAAAAAGAACCGGGACTAAAGATTGTTTTTAGTCCCGGTTATAAAAATTTTGATCTTTAGTCCCGGTTGGTAACACCAACCAGGACAAAAGATGATCTTTAGTCCCGGTTCATCCGCTGTCAGATGTATGTCAGGGGGCCGAGGATCTTTAGTCCTGGTTGATGTCAATAACCGAGACTAAAGATCACCACTTTAGACCCGGTTGGTAGTACCAACCGGGACTAAAATTAAACATGTAGTATATAATCTCTATCCCTTATCCTCTCCTCCACAGTTACAACTTAGACAGATCGAATCTCACACCTCTCCTCAGATCTATCCTCTCTAACTCTCTTCTCCAACTCCTCCCCTTCTCTCCCCTTCCCGGCTGGCATCCCCTTCCTATCCAGCAGGCCGGCCGGCGTCGGGGCGGCGCCCGGCGGCGGGCGGCGGCGGCCGTGGCGGGTGGCGGGGCCGCGGCGGCGGCGGGCGGCCGGCGGCGGGGCCGCGCGCTGCGGCGCCCGGCGGGGTCGCGCCCGGTGGAGGGCTGTGGCGCCCGGCGGGGTCGCGCCCGGCGGAGGGCGGCGGCGCCGCGCGCGGCGGCGGGCAGCGGGGCTTCGGGCGGCGGCGGCCGGTGGGGCCGCGCCCAGACTGCGCCCGTTGTTCGTGGCGATCGGCGGCGGCAGCGGCTTCTTTTTTTTTTTAATTTGTGATGATTCACTGTGATGTATTTGACTGAGAAGTTAGAAATTTGTGATTCATTGTTTGGATCTGTGATGTATTTGAGAAATTTCTTAGGATATTATGATGTATTTGATTTGTGTGCATAAGTAACTTTATGATTGTGATGTGGATTTGGTGATGTGAATTTGGGATGTTAGTTAGATTTGCGGATTGATTTGGGGATTTGCCTACTTGATTCGGGAGAAAATAAAAATGAAAAAAGAAAAAGAAAAAGGAACCATCTGCACTGCCGCTATTGTCTCTTTAGTCCTGGTTGGGTAACAGATCCCTTTAGTCAACCGGGAATAAAGATGTATCTTTAGTCCCGGTTATTTTAACCGGGACTAAAGATGGACATCTTTAGTCCCGGATCCTTACTCCCGGTTGGAAAATCGGGGTTAAAGGGGGTTCTCAACCGGGAGTAAAGATCGTTTCTCCATCCGTGATAGTACATAACCCTTATAATTAATCATCAATATCCTAATTAAGCAAACTAGTTACATATGTCTATCTTGGGTACGTAGATATAGACAGGATTACATTACATTAGTGTTCCATTTAAGAGGTGTAGACGGCAAAGGGACCAGACATAACAAAAGCCATCTCAGGACCAGCTTTGCAAACACTTTACCCTTTTGAGATCCAATGACTAGCACTTTAGAAAAAGGTAACTGTGTAGGAGTAGAAAGGTTGGGATAGACTTGGCTCTGGTTGCCTAGTTGCGACCAAAGCGCACTGAGCCAGAAATGTTTCATAAACTTAGTGGGGGTAAATATGTGATGCAAACCCCAAACCTAGATGAAAACTCATGTAAAGATCGATAAAAAAAATTGTATAAACATATTAAAAACCACACATGTAGATAATACGATGCTACACAACCATATATAAAATCTTGTCTAAACTTGTCTTCGTTTGTGAGATATAAAAATAATAAAGTTTGAACAAGAAAAATGTCTTGATGATTTGTCCAAAAAAAATGTTATTTTTATATATGATAAACAAAGTGTGTAACATCACCTCATCTACATGTGTGATTTTTTTTTTGAATATAGACAACTTTTTAGTCAGAGTTTACATGAGTTTTCACCTAATTTGTGGTTTAATTACACCGCATATTTGCCCAATTTAGTGAGTATAGTGAGTTTCTGTAGAGAAGCTCATCTTAGAATTATTCATGTATTCCACTACTAAATTACTGAGTGCAAAGTAAAACCTATACAGTTAAATTACGGTCGACCTATATACGGATAAATATTGGATGGCAAGGGGAATATATTTATTTAACTAGAACAAATGTCCGTGCGTTACAACAGGTGAAGTCTATTTTAATCTTATTACTGTTATGTTATATGGTTTAGTTAAGATGAAATTTACTGTGGGAGTTCGTTTGGATATATATTTTTAAAAAAAATCATGAGCTGCAGTTAAGTCCGATTATCTTAAGTTAGCATGTGAGTTTTTTTAAATAGACTTCTTGTATGATTTCTTATGTATTACCAAAAGTGAACGATATTAAAAACCGATTCAAATACGGATATATATTTCCAAAAACAAACGAACTTAAAAACCGACTCATACATGTATGACGTACCAAAATAACGGCAAAAACATCTTAAATTTTTATAATAGTAGAGTTAGGATCGGAGTGTATATTTTTGGACAGTGAAATCTTCCCAAACAATCGATATAGCACAATAATACACAACAAACCAGACGACTGTTTTGACATTAATTAACTACTCCTAATTAATGTAATTTTATGCAAGTTAATCATGAATAATTTCATTGTTTGATCTGATCTGCGCTCGTTAATTGTTTTGCAGCAAATCAATTTATGTTATTAATCCTTGTCTTTCCATTGCAGCAAAAAAACATTCTCCTTACATATTTTGGTTCCATCTTTTTTTTATCACTTTCCTGGTCTTGCTTTAATATTTTATTGAGGGATTCATAAACAACACATGTATTTTACAGCATGGATATAGCTACTAGCTCCTTCCTCAAAACATATGCGCATTAGCTGCAATATGCAATGCATATATATAAATTATTATGGACTTGGTTAGGTTGCTAGACTAAAAAAAGCAATATATACGTGAATAAATGTTATCATCATTCGGAATCATGTTAATTTGTACATACGTGCAAGTTTGAATTTGGTGATAAGACATAAAGATACGATACATAGGGCCTGTTTTAAATCCACTGGCAAAATTTTTCATACTGTCCCATCAAATGTTTGAACACATGCATAGAGTATTAAATATGAACGAAAAAATAAGTAAGTACATAGTTTGCGTGTAAATTGTGAGACGAATCTTTTAAGCCTAATTGCTTCATGATTTGACAATGTGGTGCTGAGTAAACATCTGCTAATGATGGATTAATTAGGCTTAATAAATTTGTCTCGCGGTTTACAAGCGGAATCTGTAACTTGTTTTATTATCGTCTACGTTTAATACTTCAAATGTGTATCCGTATATCCGATGTGACACGGCAAAACTTTTCACCCATGGATCTAAACACGGCCATATTATATATGGGTTCTGAGCTCTGAAACAGTTCATGCATGTTAGTAATTCACCCTCAAGTACAGCTAGAAGTAGAGAATGACGACCTTAATTCACTTGTCTAATACCTCGAACAATGATGGAAGGAGAATTCTTGGCTTTAATTAGTTCCACTCCATTATTTTTCCCTTAAAGTATCACACATGATAAAAAAAATGAATTCAAATTTAATTTCACAGGGAACTATCAGAAACAAAATCAACTACAAAACCGCGGAATTCGGAATTAATATTTATTTTGTCATATATAAATTAACATACTCAGTTTGGAGTTCATAAGTTCATTACGAACAATCTGAAGATAAATGAGATACTATATATATACGGGAGATTCACACATAGAGTGACTGTCGTATATATATATATATATATATATATATATATATATATATATATATATATATATATATATATATATGCTATACACGTTAGAACTCTCCTGGCAAAGCATACCATAATTAAGGAGCTTATGATTCTTAGCATATACTCCCTCCATCCCAGAATGTTTGACGCCGTTGACTTTTTAAAATATGTTTGACCGTTTGTCTTATTCAAAAAATTTAAGTAATTATTAATTCCTTTCCTATTATTTGATTTATTGTTAAATATACTTTTATGTATACATATAGTTTTATATATTTCATAAAAGTTTTTAAATAAGACGAACGGTCAAACATGTTTAAAAAAGTCAACGGTGTCAAACATTTAGGGAAGGAGGTAGTATTTTTCTACGAGGAACCATTGATTATTGGCTAGCTATCTAGCAAAAGTGTCACACACCATGCATGGGAAGAATGGCAGTTCAAAAGCCCTAGCCAGTGAGATATATAAAACCAATTAAGCTATTTATTATTTCTCAATCCAAAAGTTTAGAACATTATGATGGGGGAAAAACTTTGGAGGTAGAAGTATTTACAGAAGCTCTAGCTGAAGCCTTAATTCCTCACAAAACACGTCAGGCAAACGATCATGCAACATCCATATGCATTTTTATTTGCGATAAATTGGAGTTAATCAATCAATTCGCACATGAGATCTTCACCCTCTCTTCCTAAATCCTGAAGACTTGACTAGAGTTGGACTTTGTGTTGGTTGTAAGGGTCGAGTTTAAGACGATCTCGGCTGTGTGCCATTGTTGGCTTAGTGGCGGTCTGTCACGCTTAGTGGCGGCCGGTCCGATGCTAGCCTTCTCCTGGTTTTATGTGTTGGTGTTGCCGGTGTGTGGGTGGTGGTATATATTTTTTATTTTTCCTGATTACGATATTACAGGGTTGTAATCTTATAATTTTTTAGTGCTCTATCAATAGAACCTCATACCGTCTAGACCAGAGTCGTTGAAAAAAAATCTTCACACGTATAAATGTCTGATTCAGATGTAATTAAGCATGCATGTTGTGATTGATTTTGATTCATAATGCAAAACGATCAATATGTGTAGAGATGTTAGTTAGTTAGTTTACCTTGGGTGCTGGGTGTTCTTGACGACCTTCTGGCCGTACTTGCGCCACTTGTAGCCGTCGTCGAGCACGTCCACGTCGCTCATCGTCTTGAAGCAGAATCTCGGCTCCCGCACCTTCCGCCGCGCCTTCCCTCCTCCTCCTCCTCCTCCCCCAACCTTCTTCATCCTCACCGCGCCAACCCCCAGATGATGCTGCGCCGCCGCCGCCGCCGCCGTGTTGTTGCCGGCGTCGTTGATCCCCATGGCGCCCATCGCCGCCGCCGCCTCGCCCTTATTCCCCATCTGCGGCCTCCCTCGATGATCGCCTTCCTCGCAAGACCTAGCACGGCAATAACGTCGTCGACATGGGAGAAAAGGGGGGAGAGAGAGAGAGAGAGAGAGATCGATTGGTTGTTACGGTTACTTAATTACTCGTAATTACCATGGATGCGGCGGCGACGATCTCGGAGGAGGCGCGGCGGCGTGGAGGCCGCCGCCGTGGTGGTGGTGGAGGGTGGGAGGAGAGGGCGCGTGCGAGGAGGCGGCGGCGGTGGTTGGGTGGTGGTGGTCGAGGACGAGGGGGCTGTAACCTAGGACGCCATGGTGGTGGTGGTGGTGAGACGGCGTGGGCGTGGGATGCTGGAAGGAGAAGGCGACGGTGGTGGTGGCCGTGGCCGGGGCGGCGGCGGCGGAGGTCGTCGACGAGGAGGCCGCCGCCGCCATGGTGGTCGGCGGTTGGCGGGCGGCGCCGTGGTGGCCTAGCGCCATCACCGCCCTCCCTGGTGATGGGAACATCTCTCCCTCTTCTCTCTCTCCAGTTTCTCTCTCTGATTATTTTCGCTGTCTTGTTTGCTTTTTTGTGAGGTGTGAGTGTGAATGTGTGTGATATCCGGATGTTTATAGGGTGTGGGAGAGACAAGGGATTGCATTATTATATATCATCGAGGAAATTAAGACAAAACAAAAACAAAGTCTTCTCGAACTTTTACATCACACGCATTCTGAACAAAATTATCAACACCTTATAGTTACTCCATCATGATTATAATCGGTCATGAAAATTGATACATACATACATACATATACATATACATATACATATACATACATACATACACTGGTGGAGAAACCATCTTTCGTCGGTCGGCCGATTTCCACAATAGTCCCGGATGCAATAAAAACCGGGGCTAAAGATGATCTTTAGTCCCGGTTCAAAAGGGTAACGGGCATATTTGATCTTTAGTCCCGGTTTGTGTTACCAACCGGGACTAAAGATCATCTTTAGTCCCGGTTCCACACAAACCGGGACTAAAGATCATCTTTAGTCCCGGTTCGAATGCTGTCAGGACCTGTCAGGCCCCCCCGGGATCTTTAGTCCCGGTTGGTAACACCAACCGGGACTAAAGATCTTAACTTTAGTCCCGGTTGGTAATCCCGGTGATCTTTAGCCCCGGTTGGTGCTACCAACCGGGACTAAAGATCTTAACTTTAGTCCCGGTTGGTAATACCAACCGGGACTAATGATCCCGGTGATCTTTAGCCCCGGTTGGTGCTATTAACCGGGACTAAAGTCCCACCCCTATATATATGTCTTCTTCCTCCTCCAGCTGCCCGAGCAAGCTTCAAAATTTCTTCAAAAAAGAGGGGAGGTCATGCCAAAATTTCTATTAAATTTATTTTGGTGATTACATACAAATCGGAGGTGCCTAAAAGGTTTGCAACTTCATCCTCCAATGTTTTTTTTGTCATACTACATTTGCACCTATGTTTTGCACACTTTTTTTGTCTCCAAAATTTAGTTGTAAGTTGATGAGAGAGAAAATGTGTGTGGGGAAGAAAGAATATATAGAAATTTAGTTAATTTGCTAAACAAGGTTTTATAAAATAGTTGAGAAGGAAAACTCTAGTGAAAGTTAATCTTAAATAATAGAAAACAAACTAAAATGAAAATTAAAAGAAGTAAAACAAATTAAAATTAGTTTAAAACTTTACAAATAGTTTTTAAGAATTATTTGGTGTAATATTTTATGATTTTTGTATGAATAAAGATATCTTATAATTATTGTATGACTGTCATTATTGTAAGAATAATTATTTGTGTGCGGTTTTTTTGACTCATGTAGATGGATCGGCAATGGATGTACGCTGACCGGCGGTCCAAAGAGTTTATTGACGGCGTGCACTATTTTTTGAGAGTGGCCGAAGCTAACAGGCAAAGGGGTTTTATTTGTTGTCCATGCAATAAGTGTAAGAATCAGAAGGAGTATTCTGCATCCAGGACTATTCATTTCCACTTGTTTGAGTCGGGGTTCATGCCAAGCTATAATTGTTGGACATCCCACGGAGAGCAAGGTGTTGAAATGGAAGAAGATGAAGTGGAAGACGACAATATTCCGGACTTTGCTCAGTATGTTGGATTTGAAGGAAATCAAACGGGCGAGGAGGAAATAGCTGCTGATGGTAACGACGTTGCGGATGATCTTGGTCAGATGTTGCAGGACGCTAGGGAGGACTGCGAAAGTGAAAAGGAGGCCCATAAATTGGACAAGATGTTGGAGGACCACAGAACTTCGTTGTACCCAGGTTGCGAGCAGGGGCACAAAAAGTTGGATACCACTCTGGAGTTGTTGCAATGGAAGGCAAAAAATGGGGTTAGTGACAAGGCATTTGGCGATTTATTGAAACTCATTAAGAACATTCTTCCGGGGGGAAACAAATTGCCCGAGACAACGTACGAGGCTAAGAAGATAGTCTGCCCGTTAGGACTGGAAGTTCATAAGATTCACGCATGTCCGAACGATTGTATCCTATATCGCGGTGAGGAGTATGAGAACCTAGAAGCATGCCCTGTTTGCAAAGCACTACGATACAAGATTAGACGGGACGATCCAGGAGAAGTTGACGGGCAGCTAACAAAGAAGAGAATTCTTGCTAAGGTGATGTGGTATTTCCCTATAATACCACGGCTAAGGCGTTTGTTCAGGAACAAGGGGAATGCTAGAATGTTGCGATGGCACGCTGAAGAGCGTCAACAGGACGGGATGCTGAGACACCCCGCCGATGGTTCGCAGTGGCGAAACATCGACAGAAAATTTAAAGAATTTGGAAAGGACGCACGAAACATACGATTTGGTTTGAGTACGGATGGCATGAATCCTTTTGGAGAGATGAGCAGCGGCCATAGCACTTGGCCCGTTACGATGTGTATCTACAACCTCCCCCCTGGCTATGCATGAAGAGGAAGTACATAATGATGCCGATTATTATTCAAGGCCCCAAGCAACCTGGTAACGACATCGACGTGTACCTAAGACCACTGGTCGAAGATCTTAAACAGTTGTGGAAGAAGGAAGGTGTCCCCGTGTGGGACGAGGACAAACAGGAGGAGTTTAACCTACGAGCGCTGCTGTTCGTAACCATCAACGATTGGCCTGCACTTAGCAACCTATCCGGACAGTCCAACAAGGGGTACAAGGCTTGCACTCACTGTATGGATGAAACAGAAAGTACGTATCTTAAGCACTGTAGGAAGGTTGTATACATGGGTCATCGTCGATTCCTTGCAGCAAACCACCCGGTACGGAAGAAAGGCAAGCACTTCGAACATAAGGCCGACCACCGTACGAAGCCTAAACATCGCAGCGGGAAAACAGTGTTTGCTATGGTTAAAGATCTTAAAGTAGTGTTCGGAAAGGGGCCTGGAAGCCAGCATATAGAGAGCGAAGATGGTCACGCGGCGATGTGGAAAAAGAACTCTATATTTTGGGAGTTACCATATTGGGAATTCTTGGACGTACGCCACGCAATCGACGTGATGCACCTCACTAAGAACCTTTGCGTAAACCTTCTTGGCTTCCTAGGTGTATACGGAAAGTCGAAAGATACACTGGAAGCACGTAATGATCTGAAGCATATGGAACAACGCGGCGACCTTCACCCGGAACCAAAGGAGAAAGGAAGCCATTACTTGAGTCCAGCCAGCTACACTCTTAGCAAGGCAGAGAAGGAAAGTATGTTTGAATGCTTGGAGAGCATAAAGGTACCGTCTGGATACTCCACGAATATCAAGCGAATAATAAGCACGAAGGAGAAGAAGTTCACAAACCTAAAGTCTCATGACTGTCACGTGTTGATGACACAACTGCTACCAGTTGCAATAAGGGGTATCCTTCCAGACAATGTCCGTGCAACAATAACAAAGCTATGTGCATTCATGAACGCAATTTCGCAGAAGGTCATCGATCCGGATAGATTAGAAGCCCTTCAGAATGAAGTGGTGCAATGTCTCGTCAGTTTTGAGTTGATATTTCCACCTTCATTTTTCAATATAATGACGCATCTGCTTTGTCACCTTGTGAAAGAGATCCGTATTCTCGGGCCTATGTACCTACACAACATGTTTCCTTTCGAGAGGTACATGGGCGTTCTGAAGAAGTATGTTCGTAACCGTGCTCATCCAGAGGCAAGCGTCGCCAAGGGTTATGGAACAGAGGAGGTCATCGAATTTTGCGTAGAATTTATCGAAGACCTTCGCCCAATCGGGGTACCTGAATCACGCCATGAAGGGAGACTACGGGGAAAGGGAACTCTCGGAAGGAAAGCAATAATGACGGTAGACAACAATTTATTCCGTAAAGCCCATTTCACTGTTCTGCAACACTCTTCATTGGTAGCTCCTTACATCGAGGAGCACTTGGCTCTAGTTCGCGCCAGGAACATCGGTAAGTCCGATGCATGGATTACACGGCATCACATTGATACTTTCCCCGCGTGGCTACGACAACATCTCATGGGTAACGAGTCGATCAACCAACAACTTGCCTTCCTGGCGAGGGGACCGTCTGGGTCGATCACGACATTCCAGGGATATGAGATCAATGGGTACACATTCTACACGAGAGCCCAAGACATGAAGAGCACGAACCAAAACAGCGCTGTTCGTGTCGATGCCATGGGACACGATGGAACAACTGCCACGTATTACGGTGCCATCGAGGACATATGGGAACTTGACTATGGTCCTCTCAAGGTTCCTCTGTTCCGGTGCCAATGGGTTAGGTTGACTGGTGGAGGCGTATTGATTGATGACAGTGGGATGACAACTGTTGACCTTAACAAGGTTGGATACTCGGACGAACCTTTTGTCCTTGCCAATGATGTAACGCAAGTCTTTTTCGTGAAGGACATGTCTAGCAAAGGAAAGAAGGGCAGAGGGCCTGATGAGCCTAAGCGTCAAGTGGTTCTCCCAGGCAAAAGAAAAATCGTCGGAGTTGAGGACAAGACTGACGAGGATTACGATCAGTTGGATGGGCAACCCCCTTTCACGGTGACGATTGACCCTAGCATCCTCCTATCAAATGAAGACACCCCTTACTCACGCAGCGATCACAAAGAGGGAACAATAGTGAGGAGAAAGTACGTGCGGTCAACCGTCACCGCCGATGTAATGCCGTAATTATTGTGTACACGATGTAAACTATTTTGGATGTATTGATTATCCATATAAATCAATTGATGTATGGCATATGTTAATTACGCACGATTATTAGAGGTTTCAACAAGTTTAAATCATGTATATGCTAGTTATATGTGATACTTACAATTTTTAAAAGTTTTAAATCACACAGGTGGCAATTTCATATGTATGTTAATTAGAGTTTTTAACATTTAATTTACTAGCATTCATATGCTAATTATAATTGACTAGAGGATTTTTAAAAGTTTTAAATCACGCAAGTGGCAATTTCATATGTTAATTAGAGTTTTTAACATTTAATTTACTATCATTCATATGCAAATTATAATTGACTGGAGAATTTTTAAAAGTATTAAATTTAATATATTTTTAAAACTATCATTCATATATTAGAGTTTTTCACAATTTAATTTACTATCTTTCATATGCTACTTATATATGACGCATCGAATTTTTAAAAGGTTTAAATCATGCATGTGG